TTCTGTCCTTTACCGAAAGTGGTCTGTTGAAGTCTCCTACTATTATTGTGGAGCTTTCTATCTCTTTTCAATGTTGTTAGAGTTTCTTTTATGTATTTTGGAGCCCTGTTGTTGGGTGCATAAATATTTATTATAGTTATGTTCTCCTGGTGTATTGATCCTTTAATCATTATATAATGTCCTTCCTTATTCTTTGTGGTGACTTTTATTTTAAAATCTATTTTGTCAGAGATTAATATTGCTACTCCTGCTCTTTTTTGAATATTGTTTGCTGAATATATTTTTTTCCATCCTTTAAGGTTTAGTTTGTGTCTTTAAGTCTAAGGTGTGTGGTTGTAGGCAGTTACTCCCTGTCTTTTGATTCGTGCATTTCTTCCATTTACATTCAGCATAATTATTGATAGGTATGAGTTTAGTGCTGTCATTTTGATGTCTTTTTTTGTGTGTTTTTGACAGTTTCTGTGTTCCACTTAATTTTTTGTCCTAAGTCGTTTTTGTTTATGTTTTTTTCTTCATCTTTTTCCTTGTTGATTTCGTATTTGCTGATTCTTTATATTTTCCTTGTTTTTTATTTTGATATGTAGGATTGCTAGTTTGCTTAATATTTACCTCTGTTTTTCTAAGTTTAAACCAGCCTTTTATTTCTTTATATCACCTTGACTTCCTCTCCATATGAAAAATCTATGTCTACATTTTTTAGTCCCTCTTTTTTTGTTTTAATGTTGTCATCTTTTACATATTGACATCTGTTTCCCTGTATTCATTGTTTTAGCTTTGATTTATTTTTGTGACTTCTCTATCTGGATTGATATCTGGTTGCTTTGTGCTGTGTTCTAGTTTTGGGTTGTTACCTGATGTTACTGATTTTCTAAGCAGAGCACCCGCTTTTAGTATTTCTTGTAATTTTGGTTTGGATTTTGCAAATTCCATAAACTTCTGTTTATCTGGAAATGTCCTAATTTATCCATATTTGAGAGACAGTTTTGCTGGATATATAATTCTTGGCTGGCAGTTTTTTTCCTCCAAGGCTATATGTATGTCATCCCATTGCCTTTTTGTGTGTATTATTTCTGCTGAGTAGTCTGAGCTCCATCTTATTGAGTCTCCTTTGTAGGTGACTTTTTGTTTTTCCCAGCAGCTCTTAAAATTCTCTCTTTATTTTTGGTTTTGACAAGTTTGATTATAATATTATCTTGGTGACTTTCTTTTGGGATCTGCCTGATGTGGGGTTCGAAAAACATCTTGGATAGATACCGTCTTTCCTGATATCAGGGAAGTTTTCTGCCAACAAATATTCAATATTCTCTCTGTATTTTTTTTTCATCCTCCCCCGTTCTGGTATGCCAGTCATTCATAGGTTATTCCTCTTGACAGAGTCCCACATAATTCTTAGAGTTTCTTCATTTTTTAAAATCCTTTTATCTGATTTTTCCTCAAATAAGTTTAGTGTTAAGTGCTTTATCTTCAGTCTCACTAATTCTGACTTCCATTGTCTCAGTTCTGCTCCTGTGACTTTCTGTTGACTTGTCTAGTTCTGAAATTTTGTTTTCAATCCTTTAAATTTGTGATTGCTGTCTGTGTATTCTTGCAATCTTGTAAATTTGTCATTATGCTCTTCTCTAATCTTCTTAAGTTCATCTTTTGCTTTGTCTGTATGTTCCTTGGCTTAGTCTGCATTTTGCCTGATCTCCTTCCTGATATCTTGAAGAATTCTGTATATTAATCTTTTGTATCCTGCCTCTGGTAATTCCAAGAAATTCTTTTCCTCCAGAAAATTTCTCAATTCTTTATTTTGGGAGCTTGCTGAAGCCATCATGGTCTGCGTCTTTATGTGATTTGATGTTGACTGTTGTCTCCGAGGTATCAATAAGTTATTATATTTATTTATTGTATGTTTGCTTACTGTGTCCTAGATTATTGTTTTGTTTTGTTTTCATATGCCCAGATAGGCTGCTCGTGTAAGCTATTTTGATTATTGGTGCCTTTGAAGCTTTAACATCCTGTCACCAGATGGTTAAATCTGTTACTAAGTATGTGAGCCCGGCATTCCGTTAACTTTTCTTATATGAATTCAGCTCCGGTGTCCAGGTATTTGTTCACCACGTGTGTGGTACAGGCTCTCCGTTACACTTCTAGACAGGCATGGGTGAGCGGTGTAGGCACCGGGGGTCACATGCTGAGAAAGACAAGGGGCTGATGGCTGCCCCGGACTGTCTGAGAGGAAAGCGTGTTCCTGTTCCCTGTAGCATGTAGGTGGGTGGATTTTGTAGCAGGACTATGAGCACCCAGTGCTGTTGGTTGTAAGGAGTAGGGGACACCACTTATTCTTGGACCCCTGTCATGAGTTTCTAGGTGGTGTGGGTGGAGCCACCAGTCCTGAGACCCCTGATGTGGGCAGGTGAGGAACCTGCTTAATGGGCAGAGCAGTGTCAAATGTCACGAACCTGCCACTTCACAGCTGAAACAGTTGAAGTTAGACTTCAGGTATGTACCCTCTTGTGGTGTGGTAATGAGGGCCCGTGCTTTTGGAATGGGTCCACACAAGTGTATGCCGGTGTTAAAGGCATTCAAAGTCTGTGGACCCCTCATGCCTGTGCCTAGGCAAAGGAGTTGTGCCTATCCTGAGTTCCTGATTTAGGGGAGCTGGCAGATTATTTTTTTCCTGTTTGTTAATTTTTGCCCTTTCTAATGCCAGGAGAGTGGCTCAGGGTACGTGACGGGTCCTACTTCTAACCCAGGGGACTCGGCAATCTGTGAAGCTGGCCTGGGACCCGCTCAGAGCAAGGAGCGGGGAGATAAATGTGAGAGAGTTTTTTCCCAAAGAGGGGTGTTTTTTTTTTTCCTTTTTTTAAATTGTGCTTTAGGTGAAGGTTTACAGAACAAATAGTTTCTCATTAAATAGTCAGCTATTGTTTTACGACATTGGTTAACAACCCCCACGACATGTCAACTCTCTCCCTTCTTGACCTTTTTTTTTTTGGTGAAAATATACATAGCGAAAGTTACACCATTTCAAAAATCTCTACATGCACAGTTCAGTAACATCAATTACATTCTTCCAGTTGTGCTGCTATTCTCACTTTAGATGAAGGTTTACAGAACAAAATAGCTTCTCATTAAACAGTTAGTATACATGTTGCCCTATGACAATGGTTAACAACCTCACTACATGTCAGCAGTGTCCTTACTTAACCTTGGGTTCCCTATCACCAGCTTTCCTGTCCCCTTCTGCCTTCTAGTCCTTGTCCCTGGACTGCTGCACCTCATTAGTCCCATTTTGTTTTATGGTGGTGTCCAGTCACCAGCTGGCAGTGAACCTCGGGAGTGACTTCACCACTGAGCTAAAAGGGTGTCTGGGGGCCATACTCTCGGGCTTTCTCCAGTCTCCTTCAGGCCAGTAAATCTGGTCTTTTTGTGTGTATTAGAATTTTGTTCTACATCCTTCTCCAGCTCTGTCCAGAACCCTCTGTTGTGATCCCGGTCAGAGCAGTCAGTGGTGGTAGTCGGGCACCATCTAGCTGTACTGGACTTTGGTGGAGGCCTTGGTAGCTGTGGTGCATTAGTCCTTTGGACTAATCTTTTCCTTGTATCCTGTTCTCTTCATTCTCCCTTCCTCCCGAAGGAGTGAGACCAGTGAAGTGTCTTAGATGGCTGCTCACAGGCTTTTAAGACCCCAGACGCTACTCACCAAGGTAGAATGTAGAACATTGTCTTTATAAACTGTGTTATGCTAATTGAGCTAGATGTTCCCTGAGACCATGGTCCCCATAGCCCTCCACCCAGCAGTTCAGTCAGGAGGGGTATTTTTCGGTCTGCGTGTTTGGCCAGACACAAGTACTTACGCTGATTGAGCGTTGCTTTTCACTGGTTCTTGATGACCAAGTAGACTGTCTGCCTCAGGGCCTCTCCTCATGTGGTAAACGCCTCCCGAGCTCCACTGCTTGCCTCACTGAGCTTGCGAGCCAGTCCAGCCTGAAGGGTGTCAGCTCTGTCTGGGTCAGTTTTGGTAACTCCTTGCTGCTTCTCAACCTTCTTTCCCTCCACCTGCCACTCAGTCTGATTCCTCAACTTTACCTTTGATGTTCAGGGCTCCTAGGTTATCTAACATATATAATTGATTCACTTGTTTTTTGGGTCTTTGTTGTAAGTGGGACCACAGGAAGCGTCTGACTACTCCGCCATCTTGGCTCTGCCTCCAAGAAAGAGGTTTTGGCTTTAGCAGCTAAGTGGATGGAAGTGCCATGTGGAGTAATAATTTTAAATGGCTAGCTAACATGTAGACATCAGTTTTTTCCCTTAAATTCTTGTTGCAGTCTAAGTACTTTTCATAGCACCAAAAGGCAAACCCCCGCCCACACTTATTTTTAACCACTTTAAGTTAGTTAATAAATTAATATTGTTCCTCTGAACCAAAGACTAAACTCCCATATGTTATTCCTTTCTCCACCTCCTTTGAATGTTTGTATGTACATGTGCACTTATGTGAATATACATCTCTGTTTTGTATAGGTATAAGCATGTTCCTCTGTGTTGGTTCAGTTTGCTGTAAGAGTCTTGATAAATATTTAGTTGCTTTGAATGTGAGGCAGAGGTTACTGTGGAGAGAATTATTTCACTTCTGGTTGATTTATTTTGCATTGGTTCAGAAGTATAGTTAGGAAAAAAGATTTTCTAGAGAATTTTTTTTAGACTTCCTTTTTGTTACATTAATTTTTGAAAATACTTTTATGTTTGGTATCAAGAAAACTTATCTATCTTCGGCTAATCTCTGTTTACGATTCCTTTAATTGTTTACAAGTTGACTTCTACGTCAATTTTAGGGTGCTTTTTAAGGCTTGAGGTTTTTAAACTTTAAACCAATAAGTATAAGTTTTCTTTTGAATGTACATACTTTGTCTGTGCCAGTATAGCCTTGGCACATTATCCTTTATATCCTCCTGTCCAATAAGTGCATGTTGACTGGTTTTTTAATTATTACTACAATAAAGTCTGTTACTCAGGTGCTCTCATCAGATGTTCCTTCAGGAACAGAAGCTGAGGAAGAAGATGATGGCATGAATGACATGAACCAGGAGGTTATGTCATTAATATGGAGCGAAGATTTAAGGGTGCAGGATGTGCGAAGACTTCTTCAAAGTGCGCATCCTGTCCGCGTCAATGTAGTACAATACCCAGAACTCAGTGACCACGAGTTCATTGAAGAAAAAGAAAACAGGTAAAGGAAAATACTGTTCATTATCTCAAGTCTTGTCAGTTTTTTTGTTGTTGTTGTTACATTTGGGACTTGTTTTATATTTCTTCTTTATTACAATTTTTAGCATTTGATAACCCTAAAATGATACTTTAAAATGTGTCACGTGCTTTAAGTTTTCATTTAGCGTCAGTAACCGTACATGTTTTCAAAGTATCTGTGACATTTGATGACATAATTATTGAATTTCAGACCCTCATTCTCTTGAAATACAGTGGTGTACTATTTAGAAAAGGTGAATCTAAAACTATTTGCTGATGGTTAATTACCTCAAGAATTTACAAACAAAACAAAACACTGAACTCATTTTCTGTGTCTTTATCAAGAATAGATTTTGCTTTTTTTTTTTTTTTTTTGGTGTAGTTTAAACTTATACCATTATTTTTTTTTCAAAAGTGTTAGGCAATGTTCTGTAAGACTTCTCTCCTGCGATTCTGTTTAACACATATCTCTTGATAAAGTGTAAGACTCAGTAGTAGTGACATTCCAGAATTATTGCCTTGGATCTCTTCAACTTATATTTTAAAATTACTGTCTTGTCCGTTTATCTGCCTTGTCTCCATCATCTGTCATTGTTCCACCACTGTTTTCTAGTTCTCCTTTCTTTTTCTGAGGAGCCGTGGTGGCGTAATGTTAAAGCACTCAGGTGCTAATCAGAAGGTTGATGGTTTAAACCCACCTGCTGGTTTGAGCCCACCAACTGCTTCACAGGAGAAAGATGTGGCAGTCTGCTTCCATAAAGATTACAGCCTTGGAAACCCTACGGGGCAGTTCTGCTCTGTCCTGTATGGCTACTATGAGTCAGAATCAACTCAACAGCAATAGGTTTTTCCCTTTTCTTATTGTACTGTTTCAAGGGGAAAGGTCACCCACACGAAGCCACAGGCTCCTGAAGATCTGCATTAGTCATTATCTCTGTTTTGCTGTTTCCTCTCCATATGTACCCAGATGTTGTTGTTAGTTGCCATCGAACTGATTCCAACTCATGGCAATCCCATGTTTGTCAGAGTAGAACTGTGTTCCATAGAGTTTTCAGTGGCCAATTTTTTGAAAGTAGATTGCCAGCCTTTTTCTGAGGCACCTCTGGGTGAATTTGTTCCTGTAACCTTTTGGTTAGCAGCCAAGCGCATTAACCATGTGTCTTATAATCAGCAGCATCCGAAACTAAAGGAGTACAGTATTATCGTTATCATTATTATAGTTTGTGACTTCTACAAGGCTAAATTGGCTTATGTCTAAGACATCCACTAAAAAAGTTCTATGCTATGCAGCCTCCTGACTTTTTATTTCCTTGATCCCAAATTAATGTAGGGCATTGTTCCCAAACAATCTTAGGACAGCAAAGTTTTCTTGTCCAGTAAGCTAGAAAAGAAGCTATATGTGAGTACAGTTAGGGAAGGAGCACACCTGAAAAAATGTTACCTCTTGTTAGCCTGTGAAGAAATAGTTCTGTCTTCAGATATAACTTGTATAACTGTTTCCTAGTTATAAATGCTTCCACTTCCAGCATTTTTGTTAGTTCTTGTTTTGTTTTAAGAGGCTATATGAAAGATAATTTATTTTAATATAGAAAAAGTTAGCGTGGTGTAATAGTCTCAGAATATATCCCACAGAAGTCATTTTAACCTTGAATATACCTGATATATAATGCTATTAGTTCTGTAAAACATAGTCATCATGTAAAAACAATGTTTTATATGTAAAACTGATCCTGTGTTTTCCCTGGAGACACATGAAATCCATCCTCCTCCAGTATCAGGTCTTCCTTTCCTTCCTTATGTAGAAACAATGGAGCTGGCACTTCTGAGGCTGTATTGCCAAGAGATGGAAGGTGTACTGAGGAAGCTAGACTGAAGATAACAGGATGATAACATCCAAAAAAGTATATGTTTCTTTGAGAAGGTTAGCATCAGTTAGAGCAGAATTTTAAATTTCCCTTTTTGGATACCTAAGGAGAGTTGGCTTGGTTGATAGACCAGATGGTTTGCATTTAAAGCAAGTATGAAACAAAACAAAGGAAATATGTCTCCCCACCTAGAGTCTTTAATGGGAGCAAAAGTATTAAAATGAGAACAACTGTGTTTGGATGGTGTCTTAGTCATCTAGTGCTGCTATAACAGAAACACCACAAGTGGATGGTTTTAATGACTAAAGTCCAAATTCAGGGTGTCAGCTCCAGGGGAAGGCTTTCTCTCTCTCGGCCATCTCATCTGTGTTCCCCCAGACTAGAGCTTCTCCGTGTAGGGACCCAGGTCCAAAGGATGCACTCTGCTCCTGGCACTGCTTTGTTGATGGTATGAGGTCCCCCAACTCTCTCCTCACTTATATCTTTTATATCTCAAGAGATTGCCTCAGGACACAATCCAGTCTTGTAGATCCAGTCCTGCCTTACTAACAGAACTGCCACCCATCCTCCCTCATTTAACATCATAGAGGCAGGATTTACAACATACAGGAAAATCACACAGTACCAGGAATCATGTTGCAGCCAAACTGATATACACATTTTTGGGGGGACACAATTCAAACCATAACAGATGGGATACCCACATCTTTGTGTGGATTTACTTTGAGGTGACTTCATGTTACATAGCACATCTTCTTTCAAAATATTTGCCTGCAGATTGCATTCTAATTATGTTTTCCTTTAAAAATTTTTACATGTTGATTTTTACTTTAATTTTAGATTGCTCCAGTTGTGTCAGCGAACTATGGCCCTCCCAGTGGGAAGAGGGATGTTTACCTTGTTTTCATACCATCCGGTTCCAACAGAACCATTGCCTATTCCTAAATTGAATCTGACTGGTATGTTAAATTCTGGGCTTAATGAGAAAGAAAAATGATAAGTACGTGTCTAGTAGAGTTCTTTTGAATTATTTTGGTTAACACCAAAGAAATGTTCTTCTATCCTCAATGACTTAAAATATTGTTAATAGCTACTTTAGTGGTTATTAAAGCCAAATAATAAATCAGACTAAACAATGAGTGAAGGAGAATATAACCCATTACTAATTTTTGTTGCTAATGAGACCATTTCAAGGTATAAAAAGCCACTTGTACAAGTTCAGAAAGATAATACTGATAGTGAGAAGATTATTTAACTTTAATCTCAAAGTGTAATATGTAGAAATATTTAGTCTTCAAAATGTCATGTTTTGTCTTGTTATTAATATATGATCATGGTGCAAAGGAAAATGCTCCAAGCAAAAAGAGAAAAAAAGGTTATTATAGTAGTCCTACTCTCCAGAGTTCACTACTGTTAACGTTTTAGTGTATGCGTTTCCCAGTTTATTTATACGTAGTTATAATGATATATTTGTTTAATTATCAGAAAATTTACATCTGTTTTATAAACGTAAAATTTTACTATAAAGTGAGCATCCTTCCATGTCTAGCATATGTATGCATACAAACATATGCATGAATGTACGCTCATATGTAGCCCTGGCGGCAAAGTGGTTAAGAGCTCAGGCTGCTACGCAAAAGGTGGGCAGTATGAATCCACCAGCCACTCTTTGGAAACCCTATGGGACAGTTCTGCTCTGTCACATAGGGTCGCTATGAGTCGGAATCAACTCGATGGCACACAACAGCAAAAACATACACATACGTATTGTATGTACATATTTGTAATCAACAACTTCATTTTTACTGGATTCAGCTATTTCAGTGGATATACCATATTTATATAAGCAACTTGATATTGCTAGAAATTCTAATTTTTGCTGTTAAAAACATTGTTGGCACATATTCGTCCTATTTATTTAGGATTAAGGCTTAGATCAGGAAGATGAATGGTTTCAAAGCTTTGCTGTAACATGTTGCCCAGTTGCCTTTGTAGTTGATGATATGAGTTTTTACTTCTGCCAGATATAAGCATGCCCATTTTCCAGTATTCTTGATTACAGTGGGTTTTACAATGCATGTCCATCTTAAACTGGTTTAAGTATAGAATATGTATAAAGGCCTTAACATAAGGTATATGTTATCTATACAGTAATCTATAGTGTCTAATAGATGTGTCTTAGTTATCTAGTGCTGCCATAACAGAAATACTACAAGGGATTGACTTTAACAAACAGAAATTTATTCTCTGACAGTCTAGGAGGCTAGAAGTCCAAATTCAGGGCACCAGCTCCAGGGGAAGGCTCTGTCTCTCTGTCGGCTCTAGGGGAAGGTCGTTGTCATCAGTCTTTCCCTGGGTCCAGGAGTTTTTCACCGCAGGACCCTGGATCCAAAGGACACACTCTTCTCCTGTCTCTTCTTGCTTAGTGGTAATGAGGTCCGTCCCTTCTCTGGTTGATTCTTTTTTATATCTCAGAGGAGATTGACTCATGATACAACCTAATCCTATAGATTGAGTCCTGCCTCATTAACATAACTGCCTCTAATCCTGCCGCATTAACATCATAAAGGTTAGGATTTACAACACATAGGACAATTACATCAGATCACAAAATAGTGGACAGCCATGCTATACTGGGAATCATGGCCTAGCCAAGTTGACACATGTTTTGGGGGTGACACAGTTCAATCCACAGCAATATATAAACCTAATTCCTCAATTTTTTAAGGTGCCTAACTTTTAAAATCTAGAGTCCCACTCTGTTTTGTAAAGAGTTTATGCTTTGAGTAGCATGCTTTGAGATCAGCTGAGTAAAGAACACATTCCTGTCTCCCATATTACCTGTGTTGTAGAGTCATAAGCTCATTAAGGGGCACAGCAAGCAGAGTTGCTTTCAATATTTAAATTGTTCTCTTCCTTAAAAATCAAGCTTGTATGGCAAAATATTAACAATTGTTGAATCTTAGCAGATGGTGTGATATGGTATATAAGTGTTCACAGTCCTAGTCTTTCAACTGTTTAGAAATTTTTTCATATAAAAAATTTGGGTCAAAAAGGAAAAGAATCTTACGCAAAATTGGAAATAATTAAAATATATTAAATCTGGGCAGTAATGCTTGAGTGAGTGTTAAATACTTGAATCATTATCTTTACTTTTTTCTGAATTTATTTAGTTAAATTTGCATCATTTAAAATGTGTTTATAACATGGTAAGTTTGTACAGTAACTAGAATATTTATTTTAAATATTCATGACTTGAGCTAATACGGAATATTCAAAATTTAAAAAGGACTCAGTATTTTTCTGTACACACTGTAGATTAAAACCAAAAGAAAGCAGAAAGGAACTCAGAATATAGCATCATGAACGTTTAATTTACATTGCTCTTAAATAATATTGACCATGAAACTAAATTTGGTGCACGTTTTTTTTTCTTTTTGGCTTACCGGGTAACTCAAGTCTCTTAGAGGATGCTGTCTCTGAATGCAGTCTGACATTTTTACAATAGCATGTAATTAGATATAGATATATGTAGATAGATATGAAAACAACAAAAAAGATTCCATTGCCATTGGGTCGATTCAGACTCGTAGTGACCCTATAGGACAGAGTAGAACTGCTCCATAGGGTTTCCAAGGAGCAGCTGGTGGATTCAAACTGCCCACCTTTTGGTTAGCAGCCAACCTCTTAGGGCGGATTTATAAAGGTCCTTGTCTCTCTTTTCAAATGTCATTTTTCGTTAATGTGCAGAGATATTATATTTACTGTCAGTAACCGTAGGGAGGGTATATTTGAAGTTCACATCAGTGTAATTAATCTCCTGTTAGAATTTATATTCATATAATTTAACTGTGACATTAGCTTTCATTTTGGTTTCTAATTAAGCTTCCTGCTGTACGGAAGGGAGATAGAAAGTTAGATTTCAAGTAGTAGGTATTTTAATCAGATATATATATAAATTTAAATTGGTATCTGTTATCTTATTGTAGCCTTCTACATCTTACTAAAAAGGACAATGAATGATTTTAAACTATTAGGTTTTGTCCACCTTGCATCAAGTTTGTTTCCTAGGTTTAAAAGTTTATGTGCTTATAGAGATCTAACACCATACAGGTATTATGGACTTAAGAGTTTTGTCTTCAAAGTTCTAAATTTAATAATTTGGTGTTATAAATTTTTATTCTCTCGATGTTAAATTTTGTTTGACTGGATAGGCCGGGCCCCTCCTCGGAACACAACAGTGGACCTTAACAGTGGAAATATCGATGTGCCTCCCAACATGACAAGCTGGGCCAGCTTCCATAATGGTGTGGCTGCCGGCCTGAAGATAGCCCCTGCCTCCCAGATCGACTCGGCTTGGATTGTTTACAATAAGCCCAAGCATGCCGAGTTAGCCAATGAGTATGCTGGCTTTCTCATGGCCCTGGGTTTGAATGGGCACCTTACCAAGCTGGCCACTCTCAACATCCATGACTACTTGACCAAGGTGAGAACTTGTGCTCCCAACTCCTAGTATGATGCCTCACCTGGACTATTGCAGTAGCTCCTAACTGCTCTACTTGCCCTTCTGTCTTCGTTCTTGTACTGATAGATCCGTTCTTCTCACAACAGGCGAAGTGATCTTTCTAAAGTGTAAATCAGAATATGTCACTCCCCTGGTCAAAACCATTTATTGATCTTCATTGTCCTTAATGTACAGTTGTCCCTTGGTATCTGCAGGCGATTAGTTCCAGGACCCCCCCATGGATACCAAAATCTGCAGATGCTCAAGTCCCTGTATAAAATGACGGATGTAGTATTTGCATATAACGTATGCACATTCTCCTGTATACTTTAAATCATCTCTAGATTACTTATAATACCTAATACAATGTAAATGCTATTGTAAATATTTGTTATACTGTATTGTTAAGGGAATAATGACAAGATGCAAGGTGAACAATGCTCAGACACCGAGTGTTGGAGAGAGACTGAGGATCTGTGAAATAGTGGGAGGCTACAGCAGGGTGTGTCTACATATCATTTCATTCACGTGGATTCAGCGTAGTGCTCAGCATGTGGCAAATTCAAGTTTTGCTTCTTGGAACTTTCTTTCTTTTCAAATCTTTTTTTTTTTGGTCCATGGTTGGTTGAATCTGTGGATGCAGAACCCGCAGATACAGAGGGCCAGTTGTACATTTTAGGGGTTTATGTGAGTCTACCCACTTCTCCAGTCTTACTTTGTTTTACTCTTTAACTTGTTCCCCACTGTCCAGCCATATAGATTGGCTGTGTTAGCTTCTTGGCAATCTACACTCTGCTATTTCAGAGCCTTATGTTTTTTTTTCTTTGAACAGATTTATTGAGATATAATTCACATGCCATACAAGTCACCCATTTAAAATGTACAAGTCAGTGGTTTTTAGTATATTCAAGAGTTTTGCATCCATCACCACACTCAGTTTTAGAACATTTTCATCACCCTGTAAAGGAACCTCATACCCATTAGCAGTTGTTCCCTGTTTCCTCCAGCCCCTGGCAACCACTTTCTGTCTCTGTGGATTTGCCTATTCTTGACCTTTCATATAAATGGAATCATACAATATGTGGTCTCTTGTGACTGGCTTCTTTCACTTAGCATAGTATTTTCAAAGATCATCTGTGTTCTAACATGTATCAGTATTTCATTCCTTTTTATTGTCAAATAATATTCTGTTGTACAAATACACCATATTTATTCAGTCATCAGTTGATGGACATTGGATTATTTCCTTTTTTTGGCTATTATGAATTATGCTGTTAAGAGCATTCTCTGCAAGTCTTTGTATGGATATTTGTTTTCATTTCTCTTTGATAGATACCTAGGAGTGGAATTATTGGGCCATATGGTAACTCTTTGCTTTACTTTTTGAGGAACTCCCAAACTGTTTTCCAAAGTGACTGCATGCTTAAAATTTTCCAGCAATGCGTGAGCATTCCAATTTCTCCACATCATTGATAATACTTGGTATTGTCTGTCTTTTTAATTATAGTCATCCTGTTATTCTTGTTATTGTTGCTAGTTGCGATGAAGTTGATTCTGACTCAAGGTGATCCCATGTGTGTCAGAGTAGAACTGTGCTTCATAGCATTTTTAAGTCTGTGACTTTGGAAGCAGATCGCCAGGTCTGTCTTCCAAGGTACCTCTGGATGGGTTTGAACCGGCAACTGTTCAACTAGTAACCCAGCCCTTAACCATTGGTGCCACCCAGGGACTCCATACTCATCCTAGTGGGTATAAAGTGGTATGTCATTGTGGTTTTGATTTGCATTTCCTTAATGACTAATGATATTGAGCATCTTTTCATGTGTGGAGCCCTGGTGGTGCAGTGATTAAGTGTTTGGCTCCTAACCAAAAGGTCGGCAGTTCAAATCCACCAGCTGCTCCTTGGAAACCCCATGGGGCAGTTCTCCTCTGTCCTCTAGGGTCGCTATGAGTTGAAATTGACTTGATGGCAATGGGTTTTGTTTGGTTTATAGGCCATTTATTTATCTTCTTAGAAATATTCATATACTTTGCCTATTTTTCATTTGGGTTGTCTTCGTATTTAAATTGTAGGAGTTCTGAAAGTATCCTGGATACCAGCCCCTTAATATATGTCTGCAAAAATTTTCTCCCATTCTCTGGGTTGTCTTTTCACTTCCTTTTTTTTTTTTTTTTTTTACTTTAAGCCACAAAAGTTTTTAATTCTGATGAAATCTCATTTTATCTATTTTTTTTTTTTTGTATTGCAGGTGAAAGTTTACCGTGCAAATTAGTTTCTCATTCAAAAATCTATACACAAATTCTTTTGTGACATCTATTATAATCCCTGCAATATGTCAGCACTCTCCCCCTTTCCCTTTACACCCTAGGTTCTCCATATCCATTCGACCAGTTTTCCTGTCTCTTCCTGCCTTCTCATCTTTGATTTTGCGCACGTATTACCCATTTGGTCTCGTATACTTGATAGAACTAAGAAGCATGTTTCTCACGTTTGTTACTGTTTGTTTTACTGGCCTGTCTAGTCTTTGGCTGAAAGGTGGACTTCGGGAGTGGCTTCAGTTCTGAGTTAGCAGGGTGTCCGGGGGCTATAGTCTCAGGGGTTCTTCCAGTCTCTGTCAGACCAGTAAGTCTGGTTCTTTTCTTTTTGTGAATTTGAATTTTGTTCTGTATTTTTCTCCTGCTCTGTCCGGAACCCTGTATTGTGATCTTTGTCAGAGTGGTCGGTGGTGGTAGCTGGGCACCATCTAGTTCTTCTGGGCTTAGGCTGGTGGAGGTTGGGGTTCATGTGGTCCATTAATCCTTTGGAATGATATTTTCCTTGTGTCTTTGGTTTTCCTCATTCTTCTTTGCTCCGGACAGAATGGGACCAATGATGTATTTTATTTTAGATGGTCGCTTGCAAGCTTTTAACCCCAGACAGTACTCCCCAAAGAAGCATGTAGAACGTTTTCATTATGACCTATGTTATGCCAGATGACCTAGATGTCCCCTGAGACCATGGTCCCCAGCCCTCAGACACAGTAACTCGGTCCCTCAAGGTGTTTGGATGTGTCTATTAATCTTCTATCACTTTGCCTTGGTTAAGTTGTGCTGACTTCCCTTATATTGTGTGTCGTCTTTTCTTTCACAGAAGTTAAAACTTGTCTACTTTCTAGCTAGTGATTTACTGTCCCCACCTTTACCCTCCCTTGTAACCATCAAAGATGTTTTTTTTCTGTGTATAAACCTTTTCTTGAGTTTTATAATAGTGGTCTCATGCAATATTTGTCCTTTTATGATTGACCTTATTTCACTCAGCATAATGCCCTCCAGATTCATCCATGTTGTGAGATATTTTGCATATTCATCATTGTTCTTTATTGTTATGTAGTACTCAGTTGTGTTTATGTACCATAGTTTCTTTATCTATTCATCTGTTGATGGGCACTTAGGTTGTTTCCATCTTTTTGCTGTTGTTAATAATGCTACAGTGAACATGGATGTGCATATGTCTATTTGTATGATGGCTCTTATTTCTCTAGGATATATTCCTAGGAGTAGGATTGCTGGATCATGTGATGTTTCTAGTTCTGGCTTTTTAAGGAAGCACCATATCATTTTCCATAGGGTTGTACCATTTTACATTCCTACCAGCAGTGCATAAGAGTTCCAGTCTCCCCACAGCCTCTCCAACATTTGTTATTTTCTGATTTTTTGATTAGTGCCAGTAATGTTGGCATGGGATGGTGTCTCATAGTAGTTTTGATTTGCATTTCTCTAGTGGCTAATGTTTGCGAGCATTTCCTCATGTGTCTGTTAGCCACCTGAATGTCTTCTCTGGTGAAATGTCTGTTCATGTCCTTTGCCCATTTTTTATTTGGATTATTTGTCTTTTTGTTGTTGAGGTGTTGAAGTATTTTCTAGATTTTAGAGATTAGAGCCTTGTCGGATATGTTGTAGCCAAAAATTTTTTTCCAGTCTGTAGGTTCTCTTTTTACTCTTTGGGTGAAGTCTTTTGATGAGCATAAGTGTTTAATTTTTAGGAACTCCTAGTTACCTAGTTTTTTTGTGCATTGTTGTTTATGGTTTGTATTCTATTTATGGTATGTATTAGGGCCTCTAACATTGTCCCTATTTTTTCTTCCATGATGTTTATCATTTTATGTTTTATATTTAGGTCTTTTATCCATTTTGAGTTAGTTTTTGTGTATGGTGTGAGGTATGGGTCCCGTTTCATTTTTTTTACAGATGGACATCCAGTTTTGCCAGCACCATGTGTTAAAAAGACTGTCATTTCCCCATTTAATGGACTTTGGTCCTTTGTCAAAGATCAGCTGAACGTGAGTAGATGGATTTATGTCTGGGTTCTTGATTCTGCTTCATTGGTCTATGTGTCTGTCGTTGTACCGCTACCAGGCTGTTTTGACTACTGTGGCTGTATAATAGGTTCTGAGATCAGGTAGCGTGAGGCCTCCAACTTTGTTCTTTTGCTTTAGTCGTGCTTTGATTATCCAGGGTCTCTTTGGTGGATTGTCCCTTTAATCGTTATGTAATGACCTTCCTTACCTTTTATGGTGGATTTTGTCTTAAAGTATATTTTATCGGAGATTAGTATTGCCACTCCTGCTCTTTTTTGGTTACTGTTCACTTTATATATTTTTTGCATCCTTTGATTTTTTTAATATATTTATATCTTTGTGTCTAAGCTGAGTTTCTTGTAGACATCATATTGATGAGTCTTTTTTTTTTATTCATTCTGCCACTCTGTCTCTTTAGAGGTGTATTTAAGCCATTTACATTCAGTGTGATTATCGATAGGTATGAGTTTATTGCTGTCATATTGTTCTGGTTTTTTTTTTTGGCTGACTTTTTCTTTGTTCCTCTTACTTTCCTGTGCTCAGTTCCTTATGCTTGTGGATTTTCTTTTCTTTTCTTTTGTTATTATGGATTTTGTTTAGTGAAACTTTGTTTTTCATTTTTATTCTGATGAGTAGGTTTGTTAGCTTTCTTTGCGGTTACCTTGAAATTTACCCTTATCTTCCTAAGTTTGAACCAGTCTTTTATTACCTGATATTGCCTTCACTTCCTTTCCATTTGAAAGTTCTGTACCTACATTATTTATTCCCCCTTTTATTGTTTTACATTGTCGTCATTTAGCGATTGATGTCTCTGTTTCCCTGTTGTAAGTCTTTAGCATTGTTTTATTATTGAGAGTTTTTTTTACCTAGATTGGTATGTGGCTGATTCTGTTTTGTATCCTAGACTCCATTTGTTTTCTGATGTTGGTACTCTAACTGAAGCACTCCCTTTAATATTTATTGTAAGTTTGTTTTTTATGAATAACCTTGATTTCTGTTTATCTGGAAATGTCCTGATTTTACCATTGTATTTGAGAGAGAGTTTTGCAGGGTATATTATTTTGGTTGGCCTCTTTTTTCTTTGAAAGTTTTATATATGTCAACCCATTGCCTTCTTGCCTGCATAGTTTCTGTCAAGCCGTCGGAGCTTAGTCTTATTTTTAACCCTTTGAAAGTGACTTTTCATTTTTTTCAAGCTGCTGTCAGAATTCTTTCTTTGTCTTCGTTTTGGCAAGCATGATTATGATATGTCTTGGTGTGTTTCATTTGGGGTCTATCCTATATAGGGTTCGTTGAGCTTCTTGGTTGGTCAGTTTTTTGTCTTTCATGATATTTGGGAACTTTCCTGCCAGGAAATCTTCAACAGTCTTCTCTGTGTTTTCCATTTTCTCCCCCTGTTCTGGAACTCCGTTCATGTGCGTATTTTTGCTCATGATTCTTAGATTTTCTTTATTTTTCTTCATTCTTTTCTCTGTTTTTCCCCAAACATAGTGGCATCCGTAGATTTGTCTTAATCTTGCTGATTCTATCTTCCATTGTTTAAAGTTTGCTCCTAAAACCTTCTATTGAGTTATCCATTTCTGAAATTTTTTATCTTTTGGATTTCTAGTTGCTGTTTTTGTACGATTTCTAATTGTTTGTTTATTTTGACATTTTGTTCTTGTATTATTTTCCTGAATTCTTCTATTGCTTTTTCTGTGTTTTCCTTGATTTCAGCTGTATTTTCGTTGGTTTTGTCAGTGTTTTCCATGATATTACCTATTTTTTCCTTGGTTTTGTCTGTGTTTTCCTTGATCTTTTTCCTAATCTCTTGAAGAGCCATCAATATTAGTCTTTTGAATTTCATATCATTTAATTTGACTGCCTTTTCTTCTACCAGAAAGTTATCTGATTCTTTATTTTGGTCACTTGTTGGAGCCATCTTGTCTTGGTTTCTTATATGTTTTGACATAGTCTGCTGTCTCCGAGACAGTAACGTATTATTTTCTGTATTTAGGGAGTGTGTGTTTGTTTTGTCCTGTGTATGTTTTGTTTCGGTATGTCAGGGCAGGCAGGCCAGGCGTCCTTTGCTTGTCTCTGGGCATGATAGCTCTCACTACCTTGTCCGGGTGGTCAGGGAGGTAGCAGGCAGTGTGAGCTCACTTCACTGTACACTGGTTCGGCAGGGTGGCTGAGTGCGGACTGAACAGGCTCTGTCTGCCTTCTGATTTTGGTCCAGCAGTTTGGGAGCGTTCACAGCCCCTTGCCAGTTAGGCGGGAGTGTCAGACGGGAAATGGTACTGGCTTACTTCCCTCCATTCAACAGCTTTCCGAGTCGCAGGAGGTGAGGGGCATTGTGGGCCTGGTGCAGGGGCAGGCCTGAGCCAAGGATACTCTACCCATGGTGGCATGGTGAGGGCTGGCAGGAAAGGGGATTAACATATGTGGGTGTGAGGGAACACAGAAAAGAAAAGAGAGAGAGAGAAAGGGTAGCTGGCAGGGTGGGGTGGAGTGGACACGTGGTGCCGGGGGAAGTGGGGTAGGTGGTGTACGGGGCTAGGTGGGAGGGAGAAGGGAAAGGGAGAAAAAAATGGCACGATTGGAGCCCTGGTGGATTCGGGTGGGGGACCCGGAGTGGCAGTGGGCCGGTGGCCCTCTACCCGTGGTGGTGCAGCATGGCCGATGGGCAGGGATAGAGGTGGCATACAGGGCTAGGTGGGAGGGAGAAAGAACAGCAAGAAAGAGGAATAAAATAATGTAGGCAGAGCTGGCGCATAGGGACGGTGGTGCGGTGAGGCCTTTTGGGAAGAGGTAGAGGTGGCATGTAGGGCTGGGTGGGAGGGAGAAAGAAAAGGAAGGGGGAAAAGAGAAGAAAAAAGAATAAAGAGAAAAAGGCATGTTTGAAGCTGGCAGGTGGGGTGTTGTGAACCCAGGGAGCCAGTGGGCTAGTGGCTCTCTACTCACTGAGGTGTGGCATGGCCTGGCGGGATAGGGTAGAGGTGGCATATGGGGCTAGGTGGGAGAGAGAAAGAAAAGAGAGAAAGGGAAAAAATGGCACAGCAAGAGCTGGCAGGTGGGAGTGGGGTGGACCCAGGTGATGGCTGGCCAGTAGCTCTGTAACCTATGGTGTAGCATGACCCATTGGGAATGGGTTCTGGTAGTGTATGGGGCTAGGTGAGAGGGAGAAGGAAAGGGGGAAAAATAAGGGTAGGAGCCAGTGAGTGGGGGTGGGGCAGACCCAGGATGACTGTAGGCCAGTGTCTGTAGCTGAACAGCACACAGTGTGGCCCGTTGGGAAGGGTTAGGGGTAGCGTATGGGACAGAAGGGTGAGGGGTGGGAAAGCATGTTTCTCTGGGTGTTCTTCAACTGTTGGGGGATTCGTGAAGTTGCCTTTCTGTCCTCCCTATCTGGGGTCATTGCTGACTGTGCTCCAATATGGCTATGCTGTGATGTGTTCTTTGGTAGGGGACCCACCCTGTCTATCTCTCCTTGTTTTCTGTTGTCCTTTGTTTTCTTCTTCCATTTGATGTTCGATTTAGTTCTTTATCTCTTCACTTGATGCTTAGGGTTCCAGGATTGATGTTTGTATCTGTTTTACTTAGTTTTTCGGGTCTTTGCCACAGGGGGACAGCATGGTCCATCTGTCTAGGTTGCCATTTTGGTTCCACTGCTCCATGTTACCATTTTTTTTTTTTTAATTTGCTTGTGCTTTTGGTGTCGTATCTAAGAAACCATTGCCTAACCCAGATTCATTAAGATTTATGCCTATGTTTTCTTCTTAGAGTATAATTTTGGCTGTTACATTTACATCTATGATCCATTTAGATTTAAATTTTGTGTATGGTGTGAGGTAGGGGTCCAACTTCATTTTTTGCATGTGGATATCCAGTTGTCCCAGCACCATTTGTTGAAAAGACTATTCTTTCCCCATCCAGTTGTCTTGGCATGCTTGTTGATAATCAGCTGGCTGTAAATGTGAGGATTTATTTCTGGATTACCTCAGACCATTTACATGCTGTTCCTTCACCCCAGCACATTGTTTCTCACCTCGTAACCTTGAGTGCCCCATCTCCTACTCTTTTCTTGGCTAATTTGTATTTATCCATCAGGTTCTATTGTATATTTCACTTCTCTCAAGATTCCTTTCCTAACTATCAGCCCCTCCTAATCTAAATTATGTTTTTAAATACTCTTTCATAATACTTTGTACTTTTTTATTATGCTGCTTTTTTAAGAAAAAATTATTGTGACAGGATATATATAAAAAGACATTTACCATTTTAACCATTTTTAAGTATACATTTCAGTGACATTAATTACATTACCATGTTGCACAACCATCCCCACTATCCGTTCCCAAATATTTTTCATCACCCTAAACAGAAACTCAGTACCCCTTAAGCAATAACTCCCAGTCTCCCCCATTCCTCCTATTGCTGGTAACAACTGATACACTTTTGTCTCTATGCATTTTCATGTTCTGGATAGTTCATATAAGTGGAATCGTACAGTATTTGCCCTTTTATTTTTTGGTCTGGCTTATTTCACTTAACATAATGTTTTCAAGATTCATCCATGTTTTAGCATGTATCAGAACTTCATTTCTCTTTATGGCTGAATAAATATTCCAATGCATGGTTATACCACATTTTGTTTACCTTTTAACAGATGAATAGATAAGCAAATTGTGGTATGACCGTGCAGTGGAATTCTTACTCAGCCATAAAGAGAAATGAAGTTCTGATACATGCTAAAACATGAATGAACCTCGAAAAAAAACACATTTTGTTTATCTGTTCATCTGTTGGAAACTGGTGGCATAGTGGTTAAGTGCTACAGCTGCTCCTTGGAAACTCTATGGGGCCGTTCTGCTCTGTCCTGTAGGGTCACTATGAGTTGGAATTGACTTGACGGCAATGGATGTTCATCTGTTGATGGACATTTAGGTTGTTTCTACCTTTGGCTATTGTGTGAATAGTGCTGCAGTGAACGCTGGTGTACAATATTATACCACTCTTTAATAGTAGATTTGTTTGTACATTTTTAGTTTAACACTAACCCCCTCCCATTAGGGCACTAGCTCCATGAGAACAAGGACTATGCCTGTTTAGTTTACCACTGTATACTCAATGCCTCTCACTGTGCCTGTCACATAGAAATACTCATTGAAAGTGGCAGGCAGTATTTCATTTAAAACTATGTATTTGTTTTAGTAGTGACTTTTAAGTTTCTTTCTATTTTCTGTCTTAGGGCCATGAAATGACAAGCATTGGACTGCTGCTTGGTGTTTCTGCTGCTAAACTGGGCACCATGGATATGTCAATTACTAGGCTTCTTAGCATTCACATTCCTGCTCTCCTCCCTCCAACTTCCACAGAACTCGATGTCCCTCACAACGTCCAAGTGGCTGCGGTGGTCGGCATCGGCCTTGTGTATCAAGGGACAGCTCACAGGCATACTGCAGAAGTCCTGTTGGCTGAAATAGGTATGGCATTAATATATTTTTCCACTCCACACAGATCAAAGTAAAAATGATCGTAGAATTATAAAAATTAAGGAAAACATAGTAGCTTTTGTGAGCACAGAGTTATCCGGTACTAATAAGAAAAACCAAAAGTTATGTTTTTGAAGGCTAATATTGCCGTGCAGGTTACTAGCCTGGGTATTTATCTGACTAGCCTGATTGAGTGCCAGTGGTCACATTTAATGAGGTAGCCTATCAAAATGAATCCTGATGGCACAATGGTTAAGCGTTTGGCTGCTAACTGAAAGGTTGGCAGGTCGAACCCACCAGTGCGTCTCCACAGGAGAAAAGATCTGGCAATCTGCTCCCGTAAAGATTACAACCTAGGAAACCTATAGGGTCGCTACGAGTTGAAATCGACTTGACAGGACACAGCAACACAACATGGTTTTAATTACAAATGATTGTGCTGCTCTCCTGCTGTATCTTTACCAAGGAGGTCTGGAAATGATCTGCACTTAAAATTTAAAGTTGGCTATGTTGGTAATGAAACTGGAAATGATAAGGCTCACGTACTCATTTCATTTAATATTTTCTAAGCTTTTAATTGAGTCCAAACTTTATGAATATCTGTCTTATGTGTTGTCTTTTTCTGATAACTGGAAATGCTATTGGCATTACTAGTATGTACAGCAATTTAGATACATATATTACCTACTCTGTTCTGACCTATTCAGGATCTTTTCTACATGCATTTCAGGACATATTGTTGATGATATGTTATTGTTTAGTATGATTGTATTAGTTAGTTATTGCCACAATAATGCTGCATAATAAACAAACACAAAATCCCAGTGACATACAACAGTAATCTTGCTCTTATGTCTGTAGGCCGGCTCTGCTACAGGTTGTAGGTTTGTGGGTCTGATTCTCTGGCTCTGCTCCATATGCCTTATTTTGGGCTCTAGGCTGGAGGAACGTGTTCCTCTTATGGTAATAATAGAAGTGTAAGAGGGAGAACCAAATAATGGAAGTACATTTCAAACCTTGGCTTACTTTATGCTGGCTAAGAGCCCAGGCAAGAGCTGGTCACATGGCCTTGTCCATCGTGAGGCTATGTCAGGGGTGCAGATGTGTACTGCCCCTGTAGGACAGTAAGTAATTGAGACCAATCATTTGTCTATTACAGTAATAAAATAAATTATTTGCAAAACTGAAATGTTGCTGTTACCGAAATATACAGTAACATAATAATAATCTTGAGTATCTTGTGAAAACACTTATTCACAGGATTCTCAAGATTGGTTGTTTAAAGCTTATTCATTTACAGGGTAATTTAGCATCCTTTGGCTATATTATAGTGTTATCTAATGATATCACAAAATCTCACAGCCATACCACAGCTTTTTCATACTGTACATAGAGGATTTTCTCTTTGAATCATATGCTCTTTTATATAATGATACTTAGGATGTACATACTGTTTTTATTCTGCCCTTTTTATATATCATTCTCCAAATGATTTGATATTGTGCAGTATCTCACTCAGTTGATGTGCTATAAATTGCCTGATTGTTTTATTTTCAGGACTTTTTAGATTGTTTCAGGACTTTTTATATTGTGTCTTTGCTATTATGCATAAACATTAAACTGATTATCTTTCTGTCATTTCTTCCTTTTATAAAAATATGAATATTGCTCCCAACAAAACTTAGGATAACTATACAGAAATCCCATCATAGTAGGGTCAGTATTATATAGATTGAGAATGATATTTAACATGCTTAAAAACATATTCCTTCCTGTCAATCACTAGTATTTGAACATGTTTCATTACATTTAATGAATGAATTTGAAACTAAGAAAACGTAAACAAAATGTGAGATTAAAAATTAAACATTTTTTATTGAGCGCCCCTTTTTAAAAAAATTTTCCTACTTGGTAATATTTTTGGTAAAACCCAAGGTTTCACAGTGTTTTAAAGCCACTGCTTATGGAGGTTCAAATTGGCAAATTAAAAGAACTATTTTGGGGCTTTATTTTGTAGTTGTAGATACTGTTTATGATACAGTCATAGCTTTCTGAATGAAATTATGTTGAATCCGTAGCTCTTATACAACATACTAGAAAGTTAACTCTTTAAAATTCTTTTGAGTTAGGATTTTAAAAGGCTAATTTGAATTGTGTTGCTTTTTTATAGGACGCCCCCCTGGCCCTGAGATGGAGTACTGCACTGACAGAGAGTCATATTCTTTAGCCGCTGGCTTGGCCCTGGGCATGGTTTGCTTGGGGGTAAGCACAGCTGTGCCTTCAGATTCTTCAGTTACAACAGCTGCTTGTTGAGTTGTAATCTTGAAACTTTACTTTGAATACCACTCTGCCTTATTTTGACCTAACCTTATTCCTGCTTCTTCTATTCTGGATATTTTTCAGAGTACCAGACTTGGGAATGAAAAGAAATTTTAGTGACTGGGGCTTTAAGATTTATTTACCCCTGGTAGAAATATAAGTGTTTATGAGTGAACTAAGGGAATGAAGTTCCTTGGAAAGGGCTCAAGACGTAAGATGAAGAAGTGAATATAATATAAGAGTATTAATAAGAATAATGTAACAATATAAGAAGTGAAGAAAGAGAAAGAGAAAGTAGTGCATGGTAGAGAGCATAAAGAGTCTACAGTTAACTGCTAAAGATGAACCATAACCCTCTTTTGTGGCCCTGATGTTCACTCTGTATCCCACAACAGCATTTGCCTTATGACAGAATGCAATATCAGGTTGAACCATCTTTAACCCTATCCAAGAAACACAGTACAGAATTACCAAGACATTTCATTAAATGAGTGTTTTACCTGGGATATGGGTCCCTTGAAGAACCACCAAAGTAGTGTTATGGGGAAGCTAACTTACATAAAATTATAATGCAATGAGTTTTTTCTTGTGTACACTCTGAAAATCCACCCTGTATTTGACCATCTGTTAGGATTTTTGCTCTTCATATTTGGCACATGAACTAAAGAGGCAGTTGATACAGTGGAAAAGCATCATACTGATAATTGGAACCTGAATTCTGGTCCTCACTTATATTAGTGAGTCAAGTAACTTAACCACTAAGAAGTGTGGTTCCCTTGTTTATAAAATAAGGAAATTAGAATTGTCTAGTGGTTAAGTAACTATATAGACTGTGGAGCCAGAACTGCCTTGTTTTATATCCAACTCTGCCAGTTAACTAAGCTATGTAACCTTAGCGGGCTCAGTATTATGTAGATTGTGTTAAAACATAAAGGAAGTTTCCTTCCTGCCCATTACTAGTATTTGAACATGTTTCACTACATCTAATGAATGAATTTGAAAATAAGAAAACATAAAATGCAAGAGATTAAAAATTCCTCATCTGTAAAATGGGGTTCTTGCTAGTAGCTATTGATAGAGTTGTTGTATTAAGTAAATTAATTCATGTAAAAAACACACAGAATAGTGCCTGGCACAGTAAGTTATTGTTATTATAGTTGTTGCTGGAGAAGTTCATAGGTACAATAATGCAAGGATTCTGATGTTAGTTTAAGTTTCATTTACTAAAAACAGTTTTATTGTTAAATGCAGTGAAGTCTGTCTCTTTTGAAGCTTTTATGTATTTTATGAAAGTACTAACTTAACATACATTTATTATAATTTTTATGAGAATTATTATTAATAGTTTGAGTATTAACTTATCAGTAATACCTATTTTAATTGGAAAAAAAAAAAAAACCCTGCTTTGAAATTAATTCATTCCTTTAACTTTCAGATATGTATTATGGATCTTCTTTCATAAGATTTCCTTTAACAGATGTGTTACTTTATTTTCAAGCATGGCAGTAATTTGATAGGTATGTCTGATCTCAATGTGCCCGAGCAGCTTTATCAGTACATGGTTGGAGGTCATAGACGCTTTCAAGCAGGAATGCACAGGGAGAAGCATAAATCTCCAAGTTATCAAATCAAAGTAAGTCCAATTCAAAGTCACAAATCAGAATTCTGGAAGCTGAGAAGTTAATTTGAAAATAGTAGTTTTCATACTAACACTGGTAATTATGTTAATTTGAAACAGAGGCTAGTATTCAAAAGAATTTTATAATTCAGAACTCTTTTACAATAAACTCTTCTTTTGGTAGGAAGGAGATACCATAAATGTGGATGTGACTTGTCCAGGTGCCACTCTAGCTTTGGCTATGATCTACTTAAAAACCAATAACAGGTATTTGCGTTCCCTGCCTCCTCCATTAAATATGAAATCTTTTCTGACCTCTGTAGTAAAATTAAATTATCTAATGTGTTTATTTTCCTTGTACTAGAGCAACCTAATTATCATTCTCTCAAATACTGTAACTTAAATACCGATTTTGTCTAGAAGTAATACGTTTTGCTATTTTAATGATATTGACAATATAATTGCCAGTTTCTATTCATTTCTTTTTCTTTAGTTGTTATCACTGACATCCAAACAATACCTGAGTTCCATTTCATTAATTTTGCATGTTGTACTAAGGACCGATTAAGCCAGAAATACTTAGCATTATTCTGTTCTTGGTTATCATTTATAAAAATGATTTTGGCTTGGTTTAAGAGCTTTGGCGTAGTTCAAGGACTTTCTAACTGACCGTACCTTCTACCTCCCCAACCCCTGTGGTTGGTGCTCACACTTGAAGTAGATCTTTGATGTTTATTCTTTTACATTTTACAAAGAATGGAAAATTGGATAGGAGACATTATACCATGTTTTAAGTCTTTTAATTTAAAAAATGTTTTAAGATTAAAGAAGTTTCTCAGCGTTCTCATTCCTTCCCTAAGAAACAGTAAATGTACGTAGAATTAGTAAAGTAGTTAAAAACAAATATTTATTCATACAGTATTTGGCACTGGGGATAGTTCAGTGAACAAAATAAAAACCCCGCCTTCATGGAGATTACAGTAAGACTAGATGGATGGATGGATGGATGGATGGATGCACGGACGGACAAAATGCTAGAGAGTGTGAAGTACTATGGAAAAAAATAGATCAGGGGATGGACTGAGGAGAAATGTTTTGACATCTGTCTTGAGATTCTTGATTATCTTACCCTTTACTTGAGTGATAATGCTTACCGATATCCTACACCAACAGATCCATTGCAGATTGGCTCCGAGCTCCCGACACCATGTATTTGCTGGACTTTGTGAAACCAGAATTTCTCTTACTTAGGGTATGGTGCTTTATAAGTTTTCATTTCTTTTAACTTAAGAAGTCTATTTGTGGTTCTCAAATATAGCTTGCAAATATAAATGTCTTTACAGAGAATTTTTTCTTATTACTCTGTCAAGTATATCTAATTGGCAGTGTTTTTTTGTGATAAAAATATATATAAGAAAATGTTGGCCAGTTCAACATTTTTTACATGTACAGTTCAGTGACATAGATTATGTTCATCATCTTGTGCAACTATCACCACTATTTATTTCCTAATTATTCCACTGCCATTAACCAAAACTCAGTGCCCCTTAAGCAGGGACTCCTTTCTCCCTCCCTCCCTCCCACCGTTGTTAACCACCAGTAAACTTTAGTCTCTGTATTTGCATATTTCCTGTAAGTGGGATCATATGATATTTGACCTTTTGTAACTGTCTTATTTTCCTCAACATGATGTTTTCAAGATTCATCCATGTTGTGGCATATATCAGAGCTTTATTTCTCTTTATCGCTCAGTAATATCCCATTGTATGTATAGACCCCATATTGTTTATTCATTCGTCTGTTAATGGATGTTTAGGTTTTTTCCACTTTTGGCAGAGAATATTGGTGTACAAGTGGCAGTGTTCTTTTGAGGTTATCAGTTTAGAATTTCTCAAATTTTACTAGAAAGACCAACCACATTGAGATGTATTGCTTAGAGTAACATTTCAACTTCTCACATTATTAGTCAAAACTTACTAACAAGCAGTAAGTGACTGGGACTTCATTATTGCTTTATTTTACATTCTTTGATTACTATTAAGGATGACTGCCTTTTATTGGTTTAAAACCCCCCAAAACCAAACCTGTTACCGTCAAGTTGATTCCGACTGATAGTGACCCTATAGGACAGAGTAGAACTGTCCCATAGGGTTTCCAAGGAGCAGCTGGTGGATTTGAACTGCTGACCTTTTGTTTAGCAGCCAAA